GCTTATGAAATTGCAATTTGAGCTCACTCCGGGCACTGATTTTTATTTAATTTGGCCTACAGTGTGGCCGGTCCCACATCATGGCCATGGACAGCCAGTAAAAAATATATCACATTACACGTACGGGGACTGTTTTGCATGGCAAATCCTGGCCAGGCCAGTCCAGTCCAGTCCAGGGCGGTTATGTCCGGGGTTAGTCAGTGAATTCGGTCTCGAATGTTATTTACTGAAGCTGCAAATCCTCAAAATGCCTCGGGCCTGGAGGCCGAAAGTTTGGTTGTTTATCAACTGGCAAAAGGTAGTCGAAAGTTGCCTCCTCCCTCTCCGCTCGACCCGTTGTCCGACCAAAATCAAGAATAATGGTCCCATCGGGCATTTCAACTACGTGTCGGTGCCTTGTATTAGAGTGGGCTCCGGGTGGGAAACTTTCCGCAGACTCGTATGATTTGTATGCAAAGTGCTGGCCTCATGCCTGGCAGAGTTCAATTTCAGCCTCAGCCGCTCGGGTGGGTCAAGTTGTGTGTTTGTGTTTTGCAGCTCGCAGTTGGCCATATTGATAAGTTCTGCCGGCGACGGATTTGATTAGACATGCTGGTCAAACTTTAAGGACACATATCTATGCTCTCTTTGGCATTACCTGAGTGACCTGCCCGCCAGGACATCATATGTTGCATCCGGATGAGTTTATTTGATTTCTTCTGTCCTCTGACGAGGATGCGTTCAACTGCGAGTGTCGTGCCGCAAATGCAATTTACCGACATGGAGCGGAGCTCTTCCCATGCCCCAAAGGCTTTGCAAGCTCCAGACGTTGCCCCCGTGCACATGCATCAAACAAATTCGATAGCTTTGCCATCGCATAATAAGCGTAAACGTTGGCTAACAAGATTCATGCTACGCTCTTGCGCCCAAGAGGCAAACATGCAATGGCCATCAACGGCGTCCAGTCGACCGGGGACCTGTCCTCGTGCCTCTCCGGCTCCTCCCCGAGCTCATTGCCATCGTGCTCCTGGCCAGCAAATGACTATGACGCGACCGGTGGCCAGCGAATGTCGCGCGCTTAATGCAACTTTGTTGCTGATGCTGATGCTGATGCCTGTCCAGTGGCCCCTTCCCTGGTCAGCAGCGATTGAAAAATCCCACTAGGGCGTTTTTAATTGGATTTTAAAATACTTGTCCCATGCAGCGGCAACGGCAGTGGCAGGCAACATCAGGCATCACAGGCGAGCGGAGGAATCGGAGGATCGGGAGGACCTGCCTCGTCTGGCCTGGCCATAACATGGCCGTGTCCCCCACTCTGCTCGCAGCCCTGCAAGCGGGCAACAAGGCCAACATATCGACCAGAGCCCCATTCACAGTTTTGTGCCGTGGGTTTGAGGGGGCCTCAACACGCTCGTTATCCTTGTTTCCGGCTGTAGCTGCTGCTGCTGCTGTTGCTCCTGCTGTCCTTCTCCTCTGACATAGCTCCTGGCCTCCTGCAGCTGCCCCCACATGCTACTCCTTCTTCTGCCGCTGCTGTGCACAATTTGGTTACGTGTTTGACCGGCGGCGATTTTTCATGGTAAGGCTTTTTTGTGGGGGCCTGCATTGGGGTTTCCCATACATTAATGGCACTGCAAATTTGTATTGCAAATGTGGGAGTTGTGGCAAGGCATGGACACAACCATGGTTCCACTTAATCGCAAGTGCTTCCCGAAATCTCGTCGTAGCGTGCCCCTTTTTTGTGTCACCAAGATTGACCCATTAGTTGCAAGTGGGGGGAAAAATCACATTGTGCTGTGATATCACTGGCTCTGGCTGAAGTCGGCATTAAAATAATTGAATCGAGCTTTAAGAGGCAGCCAGCCGACATCCATGGCTCACTCTTAATTTTAATGACAGCTCAACTTTTGCATTAGCATTAGCATATTTGATTAAAAAGTGTCATTAGGCTGCTCTGCAGCTCCAACAGCTGGCTGCGTCATTTCACGCTTCACCGGAAGTTGCACAAGACGCTAAAAACTTGCGCACTTGCTTACATTTTAATTTCAACTAATTGCCGGGAATGGGAGACTCACCTCTCACCACTTCTCCTGCTGTTGCCCGTTAAGTAATTAAGGCGTTGCACTTTGTTAGCTTTATGAAGAACGAGAAGATGTCCTGCAAACTGCAAACTGCAAACTGTTCCTTCGCTGATTGTTGAAAGTGTTGTCCGTTGCCTTGACTCGATCTGCATGCAAATTCAATCTTGCCGCTTACATCAAAGGTAACATCGACTCAACTTGGACTCAACTGCTCCTCGGACTCACCTCTTTGGCGGACTAATTTGCTTTTAATTAGAATAATGACTGCAAGTTCGACAATTATCCGAAAGGCTGACTGCCAGCGACATCCTTGAAAAGGTAAATAACCAAATGGTTCCTGAAAAAGTCCACTACTTAGCTCAACGGAACTTGGGCCAAAGATACATAATTACCTGTGTAGTTGGGTGGACAGCAAATCCACATTGTTTGTCCAGGATACTAATGAGTGTCCATGGAACTTTTCCACAAATATCAAGTTAGACAAGGACTTGGGCACTCTCAAACATTAAGCTGATGTAACAATAAGGACATTTATTCTCTTACTCTGATATCAGGCACCTTGTTAGAGGTGTTCAACATTTTTGGCCAGAACAAGATTCCAAAACTTCCCGTTTTCCCCGTTTCCCACCCAAAGTTTGCTTTTCACAAAGTTATGCCAAGAAAAATACATTTCATGTAAAGAGAAAAAGCCTGGCTAAAATATACAAAAACAAAAAAATAAACAAGCACAAAGGAAACATACAAAAAATAACACAAAAGACACAGAAAAATGGAAAACAAAATCAACTTTGATTTAAGTTTACAAAAATGCTTAGCAATGCCTTTTTTAACTTTTTTGTGTGTGTGTTTCCCCCGTCGTTGTTGTTGTTCTCTTTCATTTTTTCAGCTCTGTGGATTAACTGGCAACAAAATATTTTATTTTTTATTGCTTAGCAGCGCTGATTTGCACTCTGGTGTCCCTTGGTCCCCGGCACCCTCCGCCTGCCGCCGGCGGCCTGTCCGCTGGCTGGGACAGAGAAATTCTGGATTTTGTTGTCACTTCAACACACAAAACATAAAACACACAAGAGTCGCGTCGAGTCAAGCCGAACAAAAATCCACTTGAATTTTTTACACTTTATTTTTGTACATTTCCAGCAAGAGGAATAAAACCGAATTTTTTCCACACAGTCCAGGCCCACTGTTGCTCCTCGCGCTGTTTGCACGCGAAATTTGTGCTTGTCTGCCTTTCGGCTTGTCAGCTCGCATGTTGCATGGTTTTAGGCGGGATTTGTTTTGTTCTGCCCCTGCCCCCTGCCCTGCCGCGGTGTCCCTTCTGGATATCGTCAACTACAAAGGCGGCAACAGCCAGCGGAGCCAGCGGAGAGCAACAGCCCAAGCCGCAATTTGGACACGCAGCCAGTCCGAACCCTCGGCGGGCGGACGACAGGAAGGGTTCGGGAATGATACATTTGAAAGGGTTTCCAGGGGACCCTTGCTCAAGGGTCTTAATTTCCAGCATTGTTCAGAGAGAGAGAGCAGAAACGGCAGATGAAGAGCCACGGAGCAAAGGTTAAGTTGGCCCTAATTAATTCCTTGCCGGCGAGACTGATTTCCTATTTATTCCTTAGTGAATCCTGCCTTAGAGAGGGAAGTACTTGCTCCCTTTGTCTATGTAAATAAAAGTGTAATCCTTTTGATACTTTAAGATCCTCTATATACCTTTAGCTATACCTATTTCTTATGTGTATTACCTCTTGACCCGTAAGGGAAAGAGTTTCACATATTCTAATTGGACAATGCTAGGAATTTCACATAAAAGAGAATCCTACATCTATGTTTATTCCCGGAAACCTTATTTAAACTCTTCCAAAACGCCCCTAACACTATATTTTTCTAGTACTGCATAAAAACACCGATTATTGTATCAAATGTTCAAAACTATCCATGAATTTCACACACTTTCCAGTGCATAGACGGGTATTACCATCTTAATTCCCATAACGCCCCCTAACACTATATTTTTCTAGTACTGTATAAAAGCAAGATTATTGTATCGAATGTTGAAAACTATCCATGAATTTCACACACTGTCCGGCGCATAAACGGGTATTACCATCTTAATTTTTCTCCAATTACAAATGTTGAACAATGCTCGAGGCCATCGAGCATTACCGCATTTTTAAATCGTTTCGAGCACCGGCTTACAAACCGTATAAGCCCCGTTTATTTCAGCCGTACTACATACGTCCGCCGTACCCTGCGCCCCTTGAAAGTCCTTACTTTTTGTGGTTATTACTGTATATTAAATTAGCATAAATGATTTTTAATAATTATGCCATTGAAGCCGGGGCCCCCTTCGCGTACCGCTCCAGCTGCGCCATCTCTATTGTTGTCCCCGCCCCACGCCCCCTTCCGCCCAGCAGCTGGTACACAAATTACAATATAATGAGCGAGCAAGTGCAGCGGAAATTTTTTGTATATTTTTCGGTTCAGTTTGAATTTTACATTCCATCCAGTCGCGGCCCGCCCCCTGGTCGAGTATTATTTTTATATAATGGGCGTTGATGGGCGCCGATTCGGAATCGCTGATGCCGCCCATGTCGATGTTGATTTTCATGCAAGAGTGCACGAAGCGATTCTTGCAAAAATGTTTTTTAATTGCACTTAAAATTTTATTTAAATGCTCCGCACACATGCCGTAGTCACAGCTGGCCAGGGTCGTCGCCAGGGTCCGTCGCCCCTCTTCGATTGCATTGGCATTTATGGAATGTTTACTGATTTTTAAATTCAATATTCAATATTCAGTGTGGTGAAAATTCCCTCGAATTTCACGTAGGGGAGAGCTGGTATCTCTGGTGTACACTACAGAAAACAACTCTGAATATTATGTTATTATTAACGAAAAGACAAAGACTTTGCTAATTGCTAATCCACCTGTGTTCTTTTTTCCATTTGCAGGCTGCGCTTTCGTCAAATTCGGCTCGCAGCAGGAGGCCCAGTCAGCAATAACCAATCTACACGGAAGTCAAACTATGCCGGTAAGTGCGGGGAAAGGAATGTCCTTGTTTGCTTGTATCCTGCTCTGGCTATTTTGAGTTTCGGGTCTACCAGCTGGCTTTTCCCACGCCGCTCTCTTAAATTAGAAAATTGTCCTCGGCCAAGGCAGTGTGCCTTTCCAGCGCTTTGCTTTTTCAAGCACACGATGGCACTTGTGTGCGAATAATACGAAAATAATGAAATTTCAAACCTGAAGTATGCGCACTCAAGTTGTTGTTGATGTTCCTGCTCTCATCGTTGAAAAGTACTTAGCAAACTTCATTTAAGCTACAAGTGCCCGCCTCGCTCGCCCCAACTTTGCACGATTTATAAATAAAATTAGAATTAAATTAAATGCCGACCGTAACGTATTATTATTGTTATTATTTTTCCTTTTACGCCGCACTTCAATGGCAAATCAAGAAGCTCGTTCTGCTCTCGTTCTAATTTTCCAAAAAAAAGGGAATGTGGAATAAAGAAAAATAAATCAAAATGGCTTTTGGCACAAGGGAAACTCGAGAGGGAAGCCGAGGCTGAGGCCAACAAGAAGGTTTCCCGCCAAGTGACTTCATTATGCCCGAATTTTGTAAGGAATCACCATGTAAGAGACGAGACGAGACGAGGCTGTGGCGGAGCTATCCTGTTCCTATCCTGTTGCCAAACAGAAGAGCCGTTAGCTCTATGACAACGTAGCCCGGGAATTATTTCGCCTTTTTTCTTGCTTTGCAGCTTGCGAAAAATAAATGAAATTTGCATGACACTTGAGTTATTTTGCACGTAAATTGCTTCTTTTGACAAACAAACAAGCAAATACACAAACCAGCTGCTGGGGCGGGCGAGTGGCTGAGAGAGAAGCGCTGCTATTGTTGTATTTTTGGTGTTTACAGCAGCAGCAGTGCAATCCCAGTCGATCTAACCAGTCCCAATCCCATTCCCAGTCCCAGTTCCAGTCCCAGTCCCAGTCCCAGCTCCATCCGCCTTCACCACTCTTCACTCCTTCAGCAAACGAATTTTACATTTCGGGTTTTGTGTATTTGCGGGTGGTTGTGCCTCCGTCTCCGTCTCCATCCTCCGCGTTCTTCGCAACTCGTTGGCGCATTTAAATTCAAATTCAAATATTGTTGATGAAATTTGTTGCTTAATTTGCAATTTAGATGCGTTTTTAAGCAAGCTCCGCTACGCTGCTAGAGAAATCATGTGTTTACTTAGGCGGAAGTTGATGACGATGCCCAGGACAGGACAGGGCAGGCCGGAAGTGAGGTGGAAGGCCTGGAAGGCAGCCGGAGTGGCAACTGCTGGCCCGTAATTACAGTTTTCTGCCGTATCCGTTTGACGGGAACCGGGCCCCAAATCAATGACACTTGCCGGTAGGCAACACTTCAAGCAGCGAATCCATCCCATTTCGGGCCATTCCATCAAACAGAATGAATGTCAAACACTGGTTCTGGTTCTAGCTCAAACTTCAAAAATATAGCCGCAAGTGGGGCGCAGCCACAAACAAGTAAACAAACAAATGGCGACGGTAAAAACCCCAATTCCAAGGCACCGGCAAGTGCAAACAGAGCTGCTCAAGTCAATTTCAATTCCAGGACCTTCAGAAAACCGTCACATTTTATAGCTGATTGCAGTCGATACACACAGCAAATGAAAGCCCAGCCCCGGGCACTCGATTGGGTACGAAAGGGGACGGAAAAGAGCTGCTCAGCCGAAGATGAAATCAGTATAAAATACAATCAGCTCGACCGTTTTTCCATAAATTTGCCTACGGCCTAAGGCCAACTGCACTTAGCCACAAACTCGGAGGAAAGTCTCATCCCACTTGCCCCACCACCTTCTGAAATGTCTAAGCTGTCCCGCTAACAGGGCCATGAACATGAAGGACTAACAACCGACAGCTGCAATTTTTCACCTGGCCAATTTTTAAGATGAGCAGCAAAATTGCGGCCCCTAAAAGTGAAAAAAACGGGGAAATCGTGTGGAGGCTGCCAAAGAAAGTTGTACATTTTTCTACCTGTTTTTTTAATTTTAAGAGCGCGTAATTTTTTATACCTGCCTGCATTAAGCATTTTAATGTCAGTTGCCCCTGCCCCACGACCATTCTTCGTGGCTGTAATTGCAATTTGGCATTACGACTACTCTCAGGATTCAGGACGCAGGACGCAGGACGCAGGACTCGGGTCTCCGAGTTCCCGTGCAGCTGGGCGGGACAGGGGAGGGGTAATTAGCGCAAAATGACGCCAGCTGCTGTGTTGTATAAAAATTTTAGCTGCCACGCAAACGTATTCTACGCTTTTTCCGCTGCCTCCACCTCCACGCCCGGCATATACATTAATTATACGGCCAAGTGCAACGACCAGAGTGGGGTTGATGTGTCAGGTGAGAGAGTGGAGTGAGGGGCGCCGAATTGATTGCCTACCTGCAGGCGTCAAAGTTGCGCCAGACAAAACCGCAAGTTAATTTTAAGCTTAACAGAGTCCGCTCCCAACACCCCGGCCGTGTCGCTGATGTACCACAGAAAGCTTTTAAAAAGCGAGAGATGCAGAGGAAGACCGTTTTTTGATTACGCCAAACCTTAAGCAGCTTATGAACGCCCGGTCCAGGAATGGACCCAGGGACCAGGCGCTCATTAAAAAGGAATTTACCAGGGCCAAAATAGACCAGTCCAGTCCGGTCCAGTCCGGTCAGGACGAGACTTCATCCCCACAGATCTCGCACGTTGCCTCCCTTGTTAATCTCTTGGCACTCAACATGTTATAAGTCGCTTTTAGTGCGGTCTGCAAACGTTTTCTAAATGCAAAAAATACACACGCTGTGTGTGTGGGGGGAAGGGGGAGACAGAGCGCAAAAAGTTTACAGTTTACAGTTGTAAACAATAATTTCGTATTCACTCAACACACTCACACCCTCACACGCACACCGACATTTGCATAAGCCGCTGATGCGATTTTTTGCTGTCCATGCTGTGGGCGCGGCTTAGAAGTGGGCGTGCCCCGAACACTTGTTAATGAAAGCGCGCGCATGCATTAAAGCTGCCTTTGGATGTAAATGCTTTTGATTGCCCAAGCGCAAAAGCTTCGCCACATGCATAGCGTGGAGAATGGAGTTTCAAATAAAAAAAACGGTACTGTCGCCATCTTTCTTTCCAACACAACTACTTTAAGTTAGACATCAAATTACTTTAAACGCCATCGTACTACGAACGCAGAATAAATTAGTCAATTAACATTTCCATTTTGTATTTGTTCAGTGGTAGGAGTACCACAAATAGTGGCTAAAATGGTTGGGACAACATTTGTCACACCTTTCCGGGGACGAAACACATGTCCCAGCCAGCTAGCGCCAGTCACCATCATCATCATCATCATCAAAGACATTCTGCCCAGCTTGCTCCGTGCGCATTTAAATTTCAAATTAATTTCTCGCCATGTGAAGTATACTCGTCGCACACAAAAAGAAAAAAGAATAAAGATTGAAAGAAATAAGAAATCTGCAAGCTGCCAGCGCACATTGGGGAGTGGGAGTGGGAGTGGAGTGCCAGTGCCGCGCCAGATAAATACGAGCAGAGTCCGCGCTGTCCCAAAAAATGATATGCGAAGCGATGCCGCCAGCGCTCCCTTCCAACCCATCAAACCTGTTTTCACAGTCATTTCGCAGAACGGGCGCCGTAAAATATGCAAAAGAAGAAACATTTCTGCGCGCAGCTCGCTCCATTTTTTCTTCTCCTACTTTTTGGCGGCGTCTTGGTCGTTTTGTTTGCGCTGCTCATGGCTGGATTGACGCAACATATGCCATATGCCAGAGCCATTGCCATGCCAGAGCCACTGTTGTTGTACCCCCTCGCTTTTGTTTTTCTTCACTCTCTGTGTGCTGTGTCTCGCATCAATTATGCTTTTATTTATACAACAATTTTCGTTTTGCTGGCCTGGCCGTTCAATTTTCGTCAGCAGTCGTCGGCGGCGAGCAGAACGAACACGTCGAACGGCCACTGCCTTAATGCGACTTGACAAAAATGGCGCCCAACGTGGGACAGAGGTAGCAGTAGGGGCGGGAGATTCTTCTTAACGCTTCAGCGCCGCCCACACACGCACACTCGGATCGCACCTTGCGCGTCAAGCTGACGACCACGAGAGCCTTGCTGCTCCGGTCCGGGCTGGCTTTCTATTTTAATTCACACGCCATTGTTGCTCAGCGCCATCCTAAGGAAGACGAGGCGAAGTTGAATTTCTAATGTGCAGCAGCTGCTAACAATGGAACTGGGAAGCGGGGTAGGAGTACGGGGCAGAGGCAAGAGGTAGGTGGCAGGTGGCCCAGGCAAGGCCTGATTGTATTTTGGCAGCTTGTTCTTATTGTTAGATGTTGGGCGACTAGGTGCGTGTGTTGGTTGTACGTGTTGGTTGTATTGTGTTCTTTGTCCTTAAGCATACTTAGGTGCGCATTTAAGCAATTTTTAAATCGCTGTCGTGTGTGTGTGTAGAAATGGTCGAACAACAAGCTCTAACACCATAAGGAGTCGAGGGAATTTTCACGAGATGAAAAACGGGTAAATTGAAGCTAGCTAAATTGGCATATTTATAGAAAAATGTTTGAAACAAACAGAGTCCCATGTATAAAGAGAGTTAAGAGAGGGACAAGGACTAAGATTTAGGGTTTCTTAATATTATATTCTTAACAAGCCTGCTTAGCTTAGCTTTGGATTCCTGTGTCCTACCGTGTTACATAAATCATTACTGGATCGCTAAAGCCTGTTAGAATCATCCACCACTAAATCCTGCTTGATGCTTAGCATATTAGACACATGCACAGGGCGGGCATCCTCTGACACCCTTGCCCGCACTGTCTTTATATTGATTTGCAGCCAATCCGATATTTACTCGCTCAGTGGCTGAACTCTCCCTCACGGCTTTCAGGCTCCATCAATTTCAATTTCGATCCAGCGGCAAATCCAAACAACGCCTGCCACATACAATTTCTGCCACAGCCTGCAGACAGGTCCCCCCACCGC